CTATTCTGTCTGGTAGCACACTTTGCCAGGACTACACGCTTCTTTTGTTTTTTTAAAATGACTGTATTCATCCAGTGGCGCAACTACACATTATTCAGGTGGATGCGAAAACATAAATCGTCCACGCTTCCAATTACTGAATTAACATTTAAGAATTGTTCAGCTTGGACTCTCCTGACACATTAAACACATCGTGGTCAAACGTAAGCGATTGGAAAAACTGAAAAACTTCAACAGACTCCAACCTTCCAGGAAGCACTTGTTTGTTAATAGCCGAGAATCAAGTGTAGTACAAGGAGCTGGTTTCTACCAGGCTAGTTTTGTGTGTTTATATTTTATGTGCGTTGTCGCGAGCTGGTGTCACATTCTGGGTGTTGCGTACTTTAACACGTTGTTACAACAAACGTGCCTGGCGCTGCCTGCGCTGCCCAGAAACACAGCCGTGCTGGTGGAAGTATTTTTGGGAGCACTTTAGTAGAGACATCAGCAGACTGTTTGAAGCACGTGTCTGCAGAAACATACTTCACCACCCGGCGCACAGGCTCGCGCGAGTCGCGCCACACATATTTGTATGTTCCGCGCGCGCACACACACACACACACACACACACACACACACGCACACACACTGTTTCTACAAATACACTCAGCTCAACAGTAGTAGGTTCGGTGAGTGCCAGCCCCAGAAAGGCTCTCCTCCTCCCGCCTTCCTCACTCTCACATCATCTCCGTCCATCTCTGCCTTGTTTTCTTGCTCGTGCTGTTTTCAGAGCTGCTTTGATGTTTTCTTTTGTCAGTCTATGAAGCGAAAAAGCGTCATTCTTACCCCCTTGTCCGTGTCGGATATAACCTCTTACTCTGCCTTCTACCGGGTCCGGGTTTCCTATGCATCTTCTCCCCGTGACTGAGGGGAGCAGGGACTCGGTTCTCCCCTCTTCATCCCACTTCCTAACGCCGGGATAATGTTCTATTTCCAGCTGGTGATCATGGCTGGGACGGTGCTGCTGGCTTACTACTTCGAGTACACGGACACCTTCCCCGTCCACATCCAGGGCTTCTTCTGCTACGACAAGAGCTTCTCTAAGCCCTACCCCGGTCCGGACGACGCCAGCAAAATCCCGCCGGTGCTCATCTATTCGCTCGTGACAGCCGTCCCTACGGTCACGGTAAGAGTTGGATTGTTTTAGCTGCTAAAGTAGGAGCAAAGTATGCTAAAAATGAATTATTTAAAAGAAAAGTTCAAGTAATGTGATGGGTCTGTTCTGTGTTTTTATTCGGAGTTGGGTAGTAACTAGTTACATTTACTCAGTTACATTCGAGGAACTTTCTGGACAAATTGACTTTTAGGAGTTGTTTTTTTATTTTT